CTGCAAAATGGAGTTGAGTGGTTTCTTTCTTGGTTATTAAGTGAAGCAGCATCTGACATGTTCTTTTAAATTTTATTTAATTGTATAGGAAAAAGAAAAACGGGGGGGGGGGGCACAGAAATACACATCTTTCAAGTACTAAGCAAAATCAGCTTGACACACATATCCATGCCTTCTTATTCAATTATTTTAATTTAAATGAGCATAATAATAGGAAAGAAATAGAAACCTGAACTTATACAATTCAAATGTATAAATAGTCTATATTAAGCAGTATTAATGATAAATTAAAATCTGCTTCAATAGAAGTCAAGAGACTGCACAACTATACTGGTTTGTATCACAGATAAAGCAAGATAACTACTTATTAGAAAGTAAGTGCCATTAAGACAACACTTGGATGAATCAGTCTATGATTAACTCAACAAGCTTCCATTCAGCTGACATTCTGGCAAGATGACTAAGAAATCAGTCTGCAATTTGGCTAGCGGACAATGTGTTTAAATCTGTTCAGTGTGGCTGACTGCACTCTTTTAAAGTACGTTTATTCAACAGAATAAGCATTTTTATTCAGAATAAATCTTAAGAGTATGAATGTGTCAGGTTCGGTAGACCCTCAGAATGTTAGATGATATATTGTTTGAAAATATAACAGAGGTTCTTCTCTACTCCAGAGTCTGTAAGCTAGAGAGGATTAATTCACTAGACCAAGCTAGTCATGGTGATCAAAAGATTGCACTCAATTATTTTAAAAATGACCCATGCTGCATCAAGTGTTACTATTTTTGCATACTGAACTATTTACATTGTACATGAGCAGGAGCTACTGCACATCTAGATAACTTTTAGCCTGAAGCAGTCATGATGGTTGTCAGAATCAAGTATTTGTTCATATTACTATTCTATGCCTGAATTCATACAACACCTAGCTAGAAGTAGCCAATCACAGCCTAGCCTATCAAATTGGTGAAAATTTTATTTCTTTATTTCTTTGTTTGTTTACTTACTGCCTTTACTATTTTGACACACAACTAAAGGCAGGAAGCTAACATACATAATACTCCCTTTTCTTCCTATTTTACCCACAACAATTACCCCTGTATGGTAGGCTGAGCTGGGAGTGACTGGCCCAAAGTCACACAGTTGGCTTTCATGTTAAAGGAGGCCTAGATCTTACTGTCTCCTGGTTTCTAGACCAGCACTTTAACCACTGCACCAAATTGCCTCTTCATGTGGATTAATGCCACCCATGTTGTTAGTATATGGTACAATGTGTCATGAAAATCCAGACAATTTGGCTAATTGAGTAAAGCACAATTCAGTTAATCATGGGTAAACATATGGCACAAATATAGTTCATCTGCGCTGCCATGTGTGGTGGAGGGTTGGCATAACAGCTGTTATAGCTTGGGTATGTATACCACTGGCATGTTAAGCAGCCTATACGTATGTAGGCTTTGGCTGCAAAAACTGTGATTTGCAAGGAGCAGGGAATCTAAGAACAAACAGTTGATTAGACTCATAGCTCACCAGAAGAAAAGATTATTGACTTCTTTATCTTTCCAGACCTCATTGCTTTCCTTTCTGTCTATGACTTTGCTTGATACAACCAAAAGGAAAGGCAACTAGAGCTTCCTTTCTCTTCTAGGAATCCTGGTCATAATCGTTGGTTTTTCTTCCATGGGAAATCAGATATTTGTAAGCAAGATCATGGGCGGGGGGGGGGGGGGGGGGTGGGGAAGCCTTTTGCTTTTGTCTTCCTCATGCAGTTCAAGACTATAAGATTATAAAGGAGGAACGAAAGAGGAATGCCACTGGTATTGCAGGAATGAACACATAACTGTGGTTTCCATATTAGTAATGGATGGGGTCCTTCAGGCTGAAATAGTTAAGTAGCAAATTGGCTAGCTCCCATTCAAAGGGCATTTCTATTACAATAAACTGGATTTTGAGGTAAGTATTCCCATTTTTTCTGTTTTTTTTAATTGTACTGTATATTGCCTTGTATGTCTATTTATGTATGTCAGTATGTTTATCTCCAGATCAGGTATCATTGTGTGATTTAGCCTCTTGGGAGTGAGAAATGGCTCTTTTGCCATCTCTCATTGGCAAATTACCATTGTCTCTTCTACTATGCAAACAGGTCCTTTCCACTCTGGCCCAGGTAGTACCTACCTATATATATCTTGCTTTACACAGGAACGGTTCATGGTAAGCAAACACTGGTACACTTCATGCATCTTCAAAGTTAAAGGCTAATGCCTAGAAGAATATTAGAATTCATTGATTTCCCTTCATTCTAAAGCATAACAAGTAATTCCCAATTACAGTATTTACTAAATCTGAAGAAATCAAAAGACATGCAGAGGAGCAGTTATGGCTAAGTTGATGTCATTAGCATTTCTTTCCCCCCATTAAAAGTTCAAAATATTTAAATGCATTTTCAAGGTTCCTCATATGAAAGAGAAATAGTAACTATTAACCTTTGCTGCAGAGGAGGCTATGAATAAAGGCAGGGTGAGGGGAGGAATTCTTCCCAATGCCAAAGGTGCAGTCTTTAATGACTTTAGGCCAGTCACTATCTCTCAGGGCAATTTCACAGGCTGTTGTGAGGAGACCACTGTATTATTTTGGGCTCACTAAGGTGGACATACAATTGTGGGAGAGAACATATTATAGACTCCCGCCTCCCAAAAAAAACTTGTAAAGGGTATTCATCTTATTTCAGATATACCCATAGAATCCCAATGCTTCCTTTTAAAAACTGCTGACGCACACACACAGAGACAATGTTGCTTCAAAATAATTTCACCAGAATTGAATTCGAAAGATCAGCCTGTCTAATCTGACTCCCTTAAAAAAAATTACATGGAAGGATTGATTATGCCCTCATTTCCAGACAGCAAAACCTTGCGATCTGCAGCAGTTTGGGTTAAAATGTCTCTGGAGGACACCAAGTTAAAGAAGAGAGGGGAGGTTTCTCTTAAAGCAAATAACCCAGCCACGCAGGTGCTCCGACTAGCTTTTTGTAGGCTGTGCGGACTTAACACAGGTGAGAGATTCCCGGTTTTCTCCTGCTTTGAATAGGCTTGCAGGAAAGGATGGCGAAGTCGCATGGTCTGTTCATGGGGGGGGGGGGGGGGACCCGATTCTTTTTCAATCAAACCCACGCTTACCTGTTCCCGCAAGATTGGCAAGCCCTGGAAAACGCCGGTTATATCGCCCCACCTTGGGGTGGGACCGGAGCGCCGAGGACAGATGCTCTCTTGTCCCTCCGCCTCTCCGCGGGAAGATAGCGCCGTCCCTGTTCCCGAACCGCTCCCTTTCTCTTCTGAGGGGGAGTCGAGGTAGTTCGGAAAGGCGAAAGACCTCTTCCCCCCTTCGTATTTGATACCGATCGGAGGGAGAGGTGCCCGATCGATCCTTTTTCAAGGAGGACCGGGCGCTCCCCGCTTCGAGCGGCTCTTCTTCTGCCCTGAAAGGAACGGGGTTTGCATTGCTTCGCCGGGTTCGAAATCTGGGGAGAAACCGATGATCTAGCGCTCCACCACCGCCCCTCTCCCACTTCTTTTGATATTATCGGGGTGGGGATCCGCCTCACGGATCGCGAACTGTATAGAATAGAATGGGCGGAGGTGGGGGATCTATTTACCCACGCCTGCCACCTCCTCCTCCTCCCGTCTCAAGTAGGGAGAGGAGGAGCGGAGGATAGCGGAGACAAGACCTTTTGTTGCTTGCAAGGGAAAAAAGGGGAGGGGAAAGAATGAGGATTGTGTTCTTGCGACCCCCCCTCTTTCTCCCCCCTCCCTCTCATGCAACGAAAAGCGCAAACCCGTTCGCGTGCCAAGAGCCTGCATTGAGCAAGAGACGCCCCCTCCCACCTCCGTCGCAGGCGGGTGGGCGTGGCAGGGAGAAGGCCGCCACTGTACACGTTACTCTATTCCAGAGGCAGCGTTCCGATTTCGAAAGAGGGCGGGGCGGGGCGGAGCGACACGTGACCCGGAGCGATGTCCCGGAGATATGAATGGCTTTCAGAGGGTTCAGACTCAGACGACTGAGTGTTGTCAAGATGGCGGCGGCGTTTAGCAACCGCGGTGGCAGCGGCGGCGGCAGTGGGATTCTGGCGGCTGGACTCTTTCGCAATCACGTGGCCATCGTGACGGGCGGGGGCACGGGCATCGGCAAGGCTATCGCTGCTGAGTTGCTGCATCTTGGTGGGCAACGGATCTCTGAAGAGAGAAAGTCTAGCTGGGAGCAGGCTGATTTCTCCTCCCCTGGGGGAATGGGAGAGGTGGTCGAAGCTATCTATGCCTTGCTAAGTTAGAGACTCTCCTGCGAGTCCTTCCTCCATGTTATTGATTGTAGCTTTAGGACTTGGACAAGAGTGACAGGATGTCTATGGAGATTCTCAGTCATCCAGGGGTCATGGTTGTCCCAAAGGTGCTTTCTTTCAAAAGGCAACTGGACTTTCTTGATTTTTTTTTGGGGGGGGGGGGAGACATTTCACTTCTCCTCCAAGAAGATTCTTCAGCTCTGACTGGATGGTGGGGAATTTCATGAGAAGCCAAATGTCTTCAAAGAAAAACCAGAAAGTCCAGTGGCCTCTTGAAAAAGCACCTTTGGGGCAAGAATGACAGGAGAGGAGGCAGGTTCTCTCTCTTTAGAAGTTTGGTGACTGGGACTGCTTTTCATAATAAGTTGTTACTTGCTATGAAGTTACTAGAGAAGGCCCAGGGATTTTCCTGGAAGAAAGGAAACGGGCTAGGGGGAAGAAAAAGTTGGATTTTCTTCAGATTGTTTGGTTGTCGGATCCCAATAACTAGTGTTGTCACTGGATAATGGGACATACAGTCAAAAGCTTTGGGAAGCCCTGATATTTATCCCACCATCTTTTGTCCCTTTCTATATGTTGTGTCTGTGCCTATTTTGTTGACTATCAAGAGGAATCCTTTTGAAGACATCTCAGAATAAGAGAGAGAGAAAAGAGTATCAGTAGGAAATTTAATTTAATGAGAACTTAATCGTGTATGAATGATGACTAAAGGAAATACTGTAGACGATAAAGAAAATCCAAGAAAACATCTTGTGTAATGCCTTAGGATTCTGCTTGTCTTCTTTCCTCTTTCTATTTGCTCAATCTATAAAACATTAAACAAGTTTAGGTTTCCAATTGTGTTATCTTATGTTGTAATATGACAGTTTTATCAAAAGCTGGCATTCTGTTTAATTTCTGTAAAATAAATGTCATTTTTATTTATAAAGTGTGTGGACTTCTCAAATATACTCCTTTTGCTGCGTGAACTGGATCGGTGATTTAATTGGAGTTTGGCTTTATGATAAGCACTACTTGCGCAATATTCAAACTACTGACAGATAGATTAAAATAAAGCTCAAGTGTGCTTATCCTTCTGCTTAATTGCTATTGGCAGGTTTTTTCTGCACATCTAGCTCAACCTGGGGGAGGAATGCTTTTCTGGAAGCTGTGACTGACCTTTAGTCAATTATCTATAAGATTATGGGAACTAAGCAATGTAATTTGTCAGATTCCGGGAGCAGATTTGAAGTGTTCATATTTTTCAGGAAAACAATAAAGTAAAAAATTAATGCATAGGTGCTTATATTCCTCTTCCTCTTTAAGAAGAAAGTAGGCTATACACTGCAGTGTCCTGCTATAATTATGTAAAAATCATTTTTTTAATTAAACTCTTCTTTTATTAAATCAAAAACTGGTCCCCAACTCTGTGGTGCTTTCATTGCTTGTGCTTCTGCTGCTTCATATCTTCTATGATTACATAGAACTTAATAACAGTTCATTTAGCGACCGTTAAAAGTTGCAACAGCATTGAATAAAATGGCTTCTGATCATTTTTCAGTTACAATCTTTGCAGCATCCCCATGGTCACAAGATCAAAATTCAGATGCTTGGCAACTGGCTCATATTTGTGACCTGCCTAGTAAAGTCATTGGGGAAGCCAGATTTACTTAACAACCAGGTTACTAACTTAATAACTGCAGTGATTCATTTAACCAGTGTTGCAAGAAAGGTTGTAAAATGGGGCAAAATTCACTTAACAAATGTCTCAGTTAACAACAGAAATGTTGGGGTCAATTGTGGTCGTAAGTCGAGGACCACCTATACTTAGTTCTTGAAGTTGAACTATGGCTCAAATTAATGTTTCATTATCTGGACCTGTGGATTTTTTTTCTTTCCACTAGAATTCCTGTAAGATCTCACTCTTTATTGAAGTGCTGATATAAACATCTTTGAACATATTCACCTATAAAATCTATACTTGGTCCTCTTATTCATGGATACTTTTTCTGAGACCTTATTCATGTGAAACAGTGAGCTATAAATTAGCCATGGATAATCAGCTTCGTTAGTATACCAGGTAATGAAATTGGTTCCACCACAAAACCGCGGTCGACTAAAGCGCGCTCGACGAAACCACGTACCTGACGTCATCACAGCACGACGAGAAAAGCACGCTGTGAGCGGTAAAGCTAAAATTAACGCGTAAACCTAAACCTAACCCCCCCAAACCTAACCCTAAACCTAACCCTTAACGCTAACCCTAAACCTAACCCTAACCCTTTACGTGAATCGGCTTGCTTTAAAAGCGCTTTTTAAAGCGCCCTTTTTTCTCCGCGGTCATTGTCGCGGTGATGATGATGTCAGCGACGCGCTTTAATCGGGCGCGCTTTAGTGGACTGCGGTTTTGTCGTGCCACGATGAAATTAACTCCCAAGGAAGGCTTAATCTACTTCTATTGAGATTGGTTATAATATAAAATCTGGCAAGTCTGACTGTGCTGTAACTCTTCCCTCTTGACATCCTCCAGTAGACTAGAGAGGTATCTATCTGAACTGCTCCAAATATTGTCTGGATGTTCTGGATTTTAAAAAAACCAATCAGTTCCTTTTATCTAGAAATATCTGGTCAAGATCATCTTCCTTATTTTGTACACTGACATTTTGACTTAGTGTTGTATGTAAAACCAGAAAATTCCAGTCATCTTTGGGAGGGAGAGGGAGAGAGAGAGAGAGAGAGTTTATTTGAACAATAAATAAATTAACTGAAAAAGCAGATTGTGACCTCTATATTAAGCTACAATATGTGGTTAATGGGAATGCAAATGTGACATCTCCCCCTTGATGTGCATGGTCCCTTAACTATGCTTGATATCATCTGATTTAGGAATAGCTGTGATTTTAATTAGTGTTAATAACTAGTCTTTTAAAATAAATAATTATTGTGTCAAATTCCAGCTAGTGCTAACTGGGTATAATGATTTGAATGGTATGACCATAGCAAAACATTGACAAAGAACTGGATACTGGATAGAAGTGGGGATAATGATAGGTGATCTGTTAATTTTGTTGTGCAAAAAACTTCTGAAAATTAAACTATTGGATAATTGGCACTGAGTTGCAATGCATGTGATTTCCAGCTTGAAAATCACTGGGTTATACTTAATATCATATGAACACTGTTTAAACTCTAATGCTGATATTATTTGAGAAATATCCATGGGTTATACTAGGAATTTGCAATTTGTGTTGCTTGGATTTCAATTCAAGGACATGATAAAACTACAAAGTCATTTTTATTGAAGATTGTATGTGTTTTGGTGGAATGAAATGTGTGGAAATATATTAAAGAATATCAAAGAAGCTGAGTTAACACACTGCAATAAACTCAAAATTCAAATTAGTTGGTTTTGGCTTAAAGTAGGCATTATGGACCAGTTCAACAATGGATTTCAATAGTCAGTCCATTGAAGTTGTGGGTTTCCCATCTCTGGAAGTTTTTAAAAAGAATCCGGACAGCTAGTTTTGAGGATGGTTTAATTAGTTTTCCAGCACATTTCAGAAAATAGAACCAGATGATTTTTATAGATCTCTCAAATTCCTCAATTCGGTGATTTCTGTGATTCTGTAACTATAAAATGTGGTACTGTTTGCAGTTTTTACTATATAACCTAGGATTTGCAGCATGCTTTTGAAATGATTAGTATTAAATTATTAATGTAACATTAAAACATGGGGATTTTCTCTCCTTTCTCAAGAAACTTATTTATTTATCAAATTTGTATAGCTGCCCATTTCACAAAATGCAATTCNAAAGTACACTTGATTTCAATACAAATGGAGTCCAGTGGTTTTCTTCCCTGATTACTGAATGAAGTGATGCTGACAGATAGACTCCGCCCAGGGCTTAAGCTCTGCCCACCATCCTCAAACTAAAGGGGCCTGTGAGAGGACTAATTCTGTGTTGGAACAGTACCTCCGATGTTTCATCAATTACCAGCAAGATAATTGGGTGGAATTATTGCCTCATGCTGAAGTGGCGTATAATAACTCAGTGCACAGCTGCACAGGATTTACACCCTTCAAAATAATGTATGGACATGATTTTGTGCCTATACCCGAGGTGCCTTGAGAAAAACCGCAAGTGCTGTCCCTTTCCGAGTGGAGTGACCAACTCCGGAAAATGTGGCCTTTGGCATACCGAGCGCACATCGTGCACATAAGGGACAAGCGGATAAAAAGAGAACAAAGCCAATGGATTATAAAGTTGGTGATCGTGTATATTTATCCACCAAGTTTCTCCAGACCTCTCAAAAGTCTAAGAAATTGGGTCTTAAGTATGTTGGCCCATTCCTGATTGTCAAAGTCATAAACCCTGTGTCTGTACGTCTGGAACTGCCTAAATATCTCAACCGTGTCTACCCGGTTTTTCATGTCAATCTTCTGAAGCCAGAACATACTTCTCCATTGCGTGCCCCTTTGGCAGCTCCACCTGCCCCACTTCTGATTGAGGGTGAGCAGCATTTTGAGGTTAAAGAAATTTTGGACTCTAGAAAACATAGAAACCGCGTTCAGTATCTTGTTTCATGGAAACACTTTCCTTCCTCTCATGCTGAATGGGTCGATAAGTCCCATGTGCGGGCTCCTCGACGACTCCGTAAATTCTACTCTACCTACCCAGACAAGCCTTGACCTCGATTGACATTTCCTTTTTCCCTTCCCTTTTTCTTTTATATTATGTTGTTCGTCTGTGTGTGTTTTTTCGTTTCTGCAGGGATAATGTTCTTTTTCTGGAGGAGGGCCGGATGTCAGCCTCTGTTTTGCTGCTTGCTTTTCGGCTGCCATTGAAACGGGGAGGGNTGCTTCTTGCTTTGACTTGTATAGTTTCCAGTGGTTTGTTTGCGATGCTCTTAAGAACTAGCCCTAATACCAAGAAGAGAATGCATGCTGTTCATAAACTAAATATCAGATTAGAATAAGCACAATTTTCATGTAACATTAAAACATGGGGATTTTCTCTCCTTTCTCAAGAAACTTATTTATTTATCAAATTTGTATAGCTGCCCATTTCACAAAATGCAATTCATTGGGGGGGGGGGGGAATTTTCGACTGCTTCTTGCTTTGACTTGTATAGTTTCCAGTGGTTTGTTTGCGATGCTCTAAGAACTAGCCCTAATACCAAGAAGAGAATGCATGATGTTCATAAACTAAATATCTGATTAGAATAAGCACAATTTTCATGTTTTCTTTCTTTGTAGATTTACAAGTAGCAGTAATCGCTTGATAGGCCTGAAAGTGATACTGAAGGGATAATGAGCCCAGATTTAATACTTCAGCAAGAGATCTGATTTAATCTTTGTACAACTTGTACTAATGTTGAAATGCCTCTCATTTTGTTTTGCAGGTAGTAATGTAGTGATTGCCTCTCGTAAATTTGACAGATTAAGGGCTGCAGCGACAGAGTTAACTGCTGAAATTCCCTCCACCAGTTCTGTCCAGGTGACACCCATACAATGCAACATTCGCAAAGAAGAGGAGGTAAAAATGCAATAGTCTTCCATATTTGATTAGTGTATTGTTCACTGGGTTATTCTTTTTATTACAGTGGAAAAAAAGGTATTTTCATCTCAATATTGGAAGATTAAACCACAAAAAAGTAATCTAAATACTAGTTCCTTTGCTGGAAATAGCAAATGTTGCTGTTTCCAGTTGTTTTTATGTCAGTTAGGAGACAGTCAGCTATATTATACAATTTTAAATAATTGTAATTTTAAATGTAGGAGGAGGCATTCAGTGCTTTGTAAACTCTTAAGATAGCATACAGTTCTATGTGCTTTGTTGGTAACATCCATCTTTAACAATTTGGAAGATATCAAAGACATCATTTTGAGGATCCTTGCTTTGGGTGATGTTCCATTTATTGGGATGGAAATGGAATTATAATTTGACAATTGCTTTGATTTTAGAAAAGGAAAAAACATTTTGGTTCAATGCTATAATATTTTATAGCATTTGTACTGCTGGTACAGGTAGTCCTTCTCTTACAACAATGCATTTAGTGACCATTCAAAGTTAAAACAGCACTGAAAAAAGTGAGTTATGATTGTTTTTCACACTTATGATTATTGTAGCATCCTCGTGGTCACATGATAAAAATTTAGACCCTTGGCAACTGACTCATATTTATGATGGCTGTGCCCAGTCGTGTTTTTAACTTTTTTAACTTTTCTAACCTTCTGGCAAGCAAAGTCAGTGGGGAAGCCAGATTACCAACCCTGTTACTAACTTAACAATTGGAATTCACTTTAAAACTGTGGCAAGAATGGTTGTAAAATGGGGCAAAACTCACTTAACAACTGTCTCACTTAGCAACAGAAATGTTGGGCTCAATTGTGGTTGTAAGTCAAGGACTACCTGTATATGCAAGCAATATTGAATTATATGAGTAAGTAATCTTCATCTCCAACCATAGCCTGAACTTCCTGTCTAGTGGATGACAGGATTGTTAAATAAACAAATTTAATATTAGGCTGAAAATGACAATAAGGTAATTGATTCTAATTTAGGCCAAATTATATCCTAAAGAATCAAACAGAAAGTGAGCTATCAAATGTACAAAACCCCAAACCAGAATCTATTGAGTCAAGAATCAATTCCAGCAAAGAAAGATATGTTAAAACTAGTTTTTTAAATGATAGTTTATATATACCATATACCATATTATAACACATTTTGCTCTGTGTAGTTTATTGATAATAATAGTTAATGTTATATATAGAATGAAGAAAAAAGATGTATGAAATAATATAATTGCACACATATATAAAATTATAGTTATAAAAGACTTATTTGTACAGATAAAAGAATCATAACAGATATGTAAAAGAAGTGTGATGTGTTGCAAAGATGTGAAGTTTGTATAAACAAAATAAAAAGTTTAAAAAAATAACTAAAAATAAATAAAAAAGATAATAGTTAAACAAATTATGGCTTAGCATAATATCAGAATTCAGTTTTATGTAGGATTGTCCAATACTTTCATGCTTAGTTTAACTGTGATTTTCTAAATTAGTGCAGTCTCCTAGGTTGTATGCTATGATTTAAAGATCACAGATATTTACATAGCATGCTAACTCAAATTACTGTTTTCAAGAACAAGGGGCACAAAACCTGGGAGAGTAGTACCCTATTTCTCCAAAAATAAGATCTCACCAGATAATAAGCCCAATCGGGCTTTTGAGCACATGCGCTAAAATAAGCCCTCCCTGAAAATATTGCAACACAGCAGCCGCCACAAGGTGACCACAATCGCCTGCTCCTGAATCTCAAAAATAATAAGACCTCCCCGAAAATAAGGCCAAATTTGGGGAGGGGGTCAAAAGAAAATAAGGCCCTGTCTTATTTTCGGGGAAACACTGTACATTACAAGTTGAATACACTTGAATCAGAAAAAATTGGCATGTGTTTCCCTTCGGTGACAGAATAAGAAAACGGGGTCTCTTCTTCCTGAAGATGTAGCTACAAAGATGTCTCCCTCAAGGAACTAAGATAACATTATCACTCTAAAAGTGATCAATGCCCCCCTTTTAAAATTCTTTTTTATACAGCTTAAAATCTTTATTTTTTATATGTCTACATCTGTCAGCAGCTTTGTTTCTCCGAGAAATCTGTTACAGCAGATTCAAATAAACCACCTAGGGGAAAACTTGTTGAATGCTGAGATTTAATCTCTACCCACTAGGGCATCCTTGCCTTCTAATAAAGCTTTCCCATCATTGTGCTATAAATAATTCTGCTTGTTTGGCACACAGCTTCCAAGTACAGCACTGTTGCCAGCTTTCCTTTGTTAAGAGGACACCATTACAAGCTGTGCCTTTTAGTGCAGTATTTCCACATCCAGTACATTGCTACATATATAAATTGTTGTAGTCCAACTGTGACTGGGCTTGATCATCTTTCCCAGGAAAGGAAACATCATGTTACCAGATGTGATGTGGAAACATAATTTGCTTTGTACAGGCTTCTTCTGAAATATGCAACTGAAATGACAGGACCGATGGTTATTAAACCACTGCCATTGGATTCCTTTCAAATAGTTGCTGAAATCATAGACCTCTTGATCAACTTTCTGTTATTAGCAGATACAGTGGAAACAGATTTTTCAGGACTATGATATATGATTGACTATAATTTTTATTATTTGTCTGTTTGTTTTCTGCCCTTTTTTTTACAAATGGCAGGGCATATCCAGCATATCTTCCTCCTATTGTACCCACAATAACAATCATGTCAGGTGGTTTAGGCTGAGAAAGAGTGACTATAACATTATATAACAGCTATATAACATAATAACTACAATATGTGAGTTTCATAAGTAATAATACTCTCATTTTCTTCTTTATAAATTATGTTTAAGAGAAAACTCTCAATAACCTTGTACAAATTCTTCTGTAACCATACTGTAGCCAACTCACAACAGAAATTTTGTCATTGGGATGAAATCTTGGGTTGTTGTGGAATTCCCTTGTTATAGAATATTCTAGGTTATATTTTTAACTGCCATATCATGATTTCTAACAGTACTCAAAACTATTTTGTAGAAATGATTTTCTATTAAAGAAACACCACACTTATGTACGTTTATTGACAAATACTATGTTCGATTTTTAGCCAAAAGGCCAAGTAGTGATTTAATGCTGTACAAAAATCTGCAAATGGAACATCAATCTTATCACTCCACTTTATTTTCCCTTGTAGGTAGAGGCACTGGTGAAAGCAACATTAGATCTTCATGGTAGGATAGATTTTTTGGTCAACAATGGAGGAGGGCAGTTTTTTAGCCCATCTGAACTAATAAGTGCAAAAGGCTGGCATGCTGTTATTGAAACCAACCTGACTGGAACTTTCTATTGCTGTAAAGCAGGTGATTGCTTACTATAACTTGAAGTTTTGTTCATAAAGCAATTTGAATCACGGTTACTTTGCATTTCTCATTTTTATGCCTTAACATTTTTTATATTTAGCTTAAATATTCACAGTTATGGTTTATTGTGACATATGAATCTCTCCTGCAGATGAATAAGAGATTTATCCATAGGTCTGCCAGGAAACAAATATTTGCTGGTCACATTCTTGTTAGCTGTTATATATTTGGCTGTTGCAACGTAATTATGGTTGAAGGAATGGTTGAAACTGAGGTATAATGATAAACCTAACTATGTAGTGCTTAGCATGTTTTGCCAGTTATGTTAGGTTAAATTATAACACAACAGTTATTCAGACTGCATCTCTGACAGAGAATGGTTGGTTTTAATTATAAGTCAAAGAAGACATTTAATAAGAATTTGAACTCCTTTGATGACTAGATCAGAAATACTAAAATCTATTCCCTAGTTTGTGTCAACCCTCATGCTGACATTCGCGGGGGAGCGACTTTTCCATGGTGCCGCTACCTCCCGACCTCAGCGAGGGCTTTTACACCGCCATCGCCAACACCGCCAATGCCACTCCTGCTTGGCCATGCTTACACGCTGCCGATGCTGCCGCTCTGTTTATTTGGCCATTCTATGGATCAGCACTCTCACATTGCCTCCTTCGGATCCACCATGATCATCTTGGTGTCATTCTTTATAGCAGGGGTGTGAAACTTGCAGCGTCACATTGTCATCATGTGATGTATTGTGACTTCCCCCCCCCCTCCGCTAAAATGAGGTGGGCGTGGTGTATTAGGCATCTGGCTTGTGGACCATGAGTTTGACACCTCTGTTTAATAGTGTCCAGCCAACAGGCACTAGGGTGGGGGTTAACTCAAACAGGCTGCATTCTGTACACATTCTGAAAATGTAAATAAATATATCACAATATTAATTAATGCTTTTTTTCTTGTTTCCATATAGTGTATAATGCTTGGATGCGGGATCATGGGGGTGCCATTGTCAATATTGTGGCTAACATGTGGAAAGGGATGCCTGGCTTATCGTAAGCTATTATTAATATCCAAATGCATGCCTATTATCACTTAAGTCTAAGTAGATGTATTTATTTTAATTTATGTATCAAATTCATTTGCCTCCTATTTTGTGGTTCAGGCATTTCTGATCAGAAACACATTTATAGACACAGAGACACTTCCCTACTTCCTGCAATATTGTTTTGCAGCTTGAAATGAATAGGCAGGGAAGGTTGAAGCCCCTGTTCCCTAGCTGGCTCCCTTTTTTCAGTATTGTATTGTATCCTACCTAATTTTTTTAATGGCCTTGTTTTTGCAAAGCCCAGTGACTGTATAGATTTCCAGAATAGAAAGTTTTGAAGAAATCTGCTACATTGGTGGATTAGGAAGAACACAAATAGCTAGGCCAAAAATTCTGGAAGGCCATGTGCACCTTAGAGGTTGGAGATTGCCAAATCTGGACTTTAGAGATTAAGTCAGGAGTTGGTAGTCTTCAGACCCTGAGAGACATGTTAACTCGAGAACTTTTGGTGTGTTCTAAGAGTATCAACATTGTCTGGAACAATGGCTAGTTCTAAATCCATTGCTTCTTGATAAATTTCCACAGCTATCATAGGAATCTTTGAGAATTGAGGACTTTTGCCTATATTTATGATCCTCAAACTTGGATCCCACAAATAGTTCACAGCAATTGCTTGCAAAAACATGGTTTGTTAAGGAATATTCACTCATGAAGAAATAGTGTTAATTGACTTATGTATTTGACTTACTATGATCACAATTGAGCCCCAAATTTCTATTGTTAAGCAAGATAATTGTTAAGTGAATTTTGCCTCATTTTACAACTTTTCTTGCCACAGTTGTTATTGAATTATTTCAGTGGTTAAGTTAGTAACACAGTTAAGTGAATCTGGCTTCTCCATGGACTTTGCTTGTCAGAAGATCACAAAACATGATCACATGACTCTGGAACACTGCAAAATATGAACCAGTTGCTAAGTATATGAATTTTGATCATGTGACCATGGGGATGCTGCAATGGTCTTAAATGTGAAAAATAGTCATGTCACTTTTTTCAAGGCTGTTGTATCTTTGAATGGCCACTAAATAAATGGTTGCAAAACAAGGACTACCTGTATGCTAATGCACGATCATTGGAGCTAAATCATGCCCACAATGAAATCACATCATGAAGTAACATGATAGTTGAATCTGGCACATATTTCTTACCAGTTGAAATATTGTTTCTCTTTGCATAGACTTGTCTGCTGTGACTGTGTTAATTGAATTCTGATTATGAAATTATTGCAAGCTTCCTGATTGTAGAACATTAACATGTACACAGGTGCACACAGATATTTTTTGCCTGGGAAGAGTTTCATGTAATTACAAGTTGAAAGAGAGAGAACATTTTGTTGGCCTCTAAATTTGTCCTGTAATCAATCCTAGCTGTAAAATGAAATTATGCCTGATACCCCCTAAAATCTCAGAAATCTTAGAGATATTGGTATTTTGAAGATCCATAAAGGCAAATAAGCAATTTTACTCTAGCTGGGGATACAGATTGGGTGCTATTTGTAAAATCTGTGCTTATACACATAAATTAGACTGGAAAAACTAAAAGTTGGGATTTTCAACCATCCTGACTATGAGTGGAAATCAATAACTATTTCTGACAATTGTCCCGTGGCATCAAGATTAGATGAAATTACTGGGAGGAGGATAGCTTCTTGAACTCTAAACCCCAGTTAAGCTAGGAAAGTATAGTTATAGGCATTTCATAATCACAACATCTAATTTCAGAGTGGTCTAACTTAACCTGTGGAAAGAAATTAAGCCTGCCTCTTCTTTTGCTTCCTTTGCAGGCACAGTGGAGCAGCAAGAGCTGCTGTTGATAACCTGACCAAAAGCTTAGCCATTGAGTGGGCATGCAATGGAGTGAGGATTAACTCAGTTGCCCCGGTAGGTTATGAAATAAGTGATGTAAACAACAGACTGGAACCAAATGCTGATTCTAACCATCTTATTTGCCTAATTTAATATTGGATGGATGGATGAAGATAGGAGCTTTTTCATAGGTTAGGACAGTGATCCCCAACCCCCGGTCCGCGGAGTACCTGGCACCGGGCCGCGCAGCGGCCGG